GGTTCCGGCGACGGCGGTGCGCAACGCCGCGCCGTGCTGGATAATTAAAAAGATCTAATTGCACATGGGAGATGGAAGAATGGGGCGAAATTCAAATTGAAGGGCTTCCACGCCAACAAAAACCTTCGTAAATTGAGTTGGAAATTACAACAACACCAACAAAAACAAAAAAGAGGATTTCCCTATCCATTTAATCAAATTGAACTGCACTGAAATAATTAGTAAAGTGATATCTGCAATGAAACTAATTTGAACTGAATAACAACAATCATTACTCTCAATAGATCGGATACAAATAGCAGCCACATAGAGCGTTTCCTGTTCTTTTCGAAATGCGCTATATTTAGCTATCACACAATTGCCGACAAAGTCGGGTTAGTTTTGTGGCGCGCGAGTTGTGCGGGTCGTTTTGAGAGGCCGGAGCTTCCGGTGTTTCCATTGCAGCGAAGTAATCGACGTGATTTATACGTGGGCGCCGATATACGCCCCCACCGCCGCCGCAGACACGCCGCGATGGTCGTATATTAAAACGCGGAATTGCATTCGTGGATACCGCCGACAGTATTTCAAAGAACCGGCATGGAAAGGTTTCCACCGGCAGTTTCCACCCGTTTCATAAGTTATAACGCGCGAGCCGTTAAGGTACCTGCTATGTCAGGTAGTTGGCTAGTATTGTATTACTTTGCAGGGCCCCCACGTGCAATTTACGAAGGGAAAAATAACCCTGCGTTGACCAATTGGGTTCATATGCAATAAAATAACGCCTAGTTGTATTTCAGCCGTTGACGTTGAACACGATATCATGATCAATTTAAAAGAATAGTGTTTGTTCGAGTATTATTTATTTATAATTTGGCATGTCAAGAGGAAAGTCTTATTCTCCATCAGGAGAATGTTGTACCGAATGACTGGAGGGCTTTTGTTTGACTGCGGAGTGACAGAAACGACTTCAAGAGCGTTTCAGCAAACGCGACAACAGAGAGGTCTGGAGATGCGATGTCAAGTTGCAACATCTTGAGTAAAATATATTCTAAGAGTAGAAAATGAGATGAATCAAATGTACAGGATGAGACATACGATTTTTAAAGAAATTGTCTTTTGAATATCAACATTCAATATTCTGATCTAGAGCACAGGGAGTCACCGGAGGTGATGTTAAAATAGAAATCAGCATCAGCGTCTGGTTTGACTTGTTTGACTGATCATATGGTCTTGTCCTGCACCGTAGGTAAATGCGCAGGCGCAAGCTCCACCTCGTGACTAAAGCTCGTGACTAAAGTACTTTAGTCCCGTTCTTGGTCGTTCGTGTTTAAAGTGTGGGGTACATTTCATCGTCTGGGCTTTGTGTTGGTACGCTCGGTCCGGCAAGGATGTTTAGTCTACATTTATTTAGTCTGAACGAAACAGAGTAACCCCTTGTAGTCTGGGTACGAATTGCTCAACTCAAGGCTCTTTTGACATATTTATTGGTATACTGGTAATAATTGCCGGGACCGTCTAGACGACGTATCGCCCTATTCACAATAGATAACGAATAAACACAAAGACCAGATGGTGAAAAATTCAGATATAAAAGGGACACCCCGAGAGTTGTTCCTAAGTCACGTCAGTCAGTTCTTCGAGTTCATTTGATGTAGAAGCGAGTACTTATTAATAAACGCATTACCACAAAAGTATCAGTTGTTGTGTCTCAATAACTGGCATTTTAAAGGTAACAGTAGAAAAATGAATTTCTAACAACAATCAATGATGATAAAATCAAGTAAGCATGAACAATAAATAAATTTTGTTTTTATTGTCACCACCATTCGCAATGAGCAACTTTTTTGCAAATTAAATTTAAGTCATTTTATAACATTATCCATGAAATGACAATCAAACATCAATAAACAAACTTCACACCGCTCACATCGTGCATCGCACCGTGTTCCCGCAGTTTGATTCACCTTTAAAGAAACCGATACCAACCAAAAACAATATGGAACCTACACGCCCCCAACCTCTTGGTCCTCCTACATCCTCTTCGACTTCTGGGTCTACTCCTGTGCAAGCACCTCAGTCCTTTTGCGAAATATGTCGGCAGCAAAATATCCCCCCGCCCTATTCGCGATTGAAGATTTGCGTCGGCTGCGTTCGCATCTCGGTTGCTGAGGTGAGGGCGGTAATGTTAAAACCCGTTCAATGGATGGCGATGGTCAACAAGCATATCAAGTACACCTGCTTGATTAAGCACGCCAAACAGTGCTCCAATAACGTGTGCCTAACTGGCGGATGTTACGCAATGCGAATGCAATTGGCGCACATGAAGACTTGCTTCCTGTTCAAGCCCTGCCGCGTCTGCCTGGAATATAATTCGAAAATATCTTTTCATGTGCAGCACTGCACGTCACCCTGCTGCGGAATCCCAAGATGCAATTGGTTAAAATTTTATCATAACCTGATCATGCAACAATATCCGCTCGTCTAATTATTATCTTTGATGTTTTATTATCACACGCGTTGTTTTCACTGTATTGCATAATAATAAAACAAGTTTGTGTTTGTTGCGTTTCTTCCAATCGTGGAATTTAATATTTTTCAAATTTGTCTGACTTTTACAATATCAATCAGTCTTTGTTCTTGAGAAATGCACGAAAATCGCAGATGCATCACGTTGTCGCATATTGAAAATCTGAAGCGCCCTCGGGGCGCATGTGCTCTCTGCGACTCATGTTTATAAATCCACTTATATGGAAACACACGCCTAATATTATTGCGCAACGCGTGACAAGCTGCTGAAAGTTCGGGCGAGGTGAAGGTGAGGATGGGAAAAACGCGACTGTTTCGCATTGCGTTGGCGCCCCGCGGCCGCTCCCGGCTGTTTATCCTCCTTAAGTGTTTTTCGCAAATATCCCTATTCGCCGGGGCTCAGCCGTTGTCACCGGCAGGCGCACTTCGCGCGGTTAACCTTGCCGAAACAGTGGCAAAACGCGCGCAACGAGCCGTGGCGAATTCAACAATTCAACGAAAATTTATGTTCTTTGCTAGTGTCGCAGTACCGTGTCGAAATATACACACGGCGCACACGCTGATAAACAAACACGCGCGAAGTTACTCATTTTTATGATGTCGGCGGCGCGCGCGAATCGAGCGCGATTTCGTGCGAAAGTTTCTTCGAATTCGGTGGAATCGTGAGATAAAAGGGGAGAAGATGAAATTGTGTTTGCATTATGAAGCGAATGTTTATATTGCACCTCGCTTTGTGCACGTGGACCTGTTTCTTTATAAATGATTAAAGTTTCACATTTTTCCTTTCTTCCCTCAGTCATCTTATAGCACAGCACGATTGAGATCTCTCTTAGTTCTTTGCGCGGCGCGCAGTTCGCAACATCCGCATCTAAAAATATAAAAGCAGCTATGTAATCAGATTATTTACGCTCTTACTTTGTACATTTTCGTCTAATGTTAGGCCGATAGCATAATCCATTCGCACATGCAATATAAATCTTTCCCTTTTCCCTTTCACCTCTCCAGTGTATCACAAAAGTAAAAACGCGCCGCGCGGAGAATTGAATCGATTTTGATTTATATTCCATCCTGTTTACTATTCCAGCAAGGTACTTTACTTTTTCATCATATTTCCCGACGTCGCCTCGGCTTTCCAACGCGTGTGATATCTCCTTCTTTCGCGTGCCTTTTACGTATCTATTTTCGGACGCGTTGCTTTTCGCGGAAAAAATGAAGTAACATTTATTGGAAACGCTCGCATCATTCTTCTAACTATACTAATGTAGTAAACATGAAAAACTTGGCGGAAATAGATAGTTCCTGTGCGCCCTATTCGACAAAGAGTTTTCCTTGCAGACTCTCCGACACAGCGCAAGATCCTGAAGCGAGCGGAAGGCCTGAAACTTCCCCCAGAAAAAAAAAACTTTAACATATATTCATTCTCGCTCGAAAAACACACCACACGCATGCACATCGAGGTTTTATTTTATTGTCTCCGTTAAAACGGGCCTTTATATGGAAAGTTTTATTTTTCATCTTTTCGTGCTTTATATTCTCGCGTTGTCCGCTTTTATTATTATTGCTGTCTGAACACGCCTAGCGCCGGCTTACGCGTACATGTATCTACAGTAGGCCTAGTGTATTAAAGCAGCGTTTATCCTGGGAACAGTAGATTATTTCTGGATGATTTGTCAGTATATTGTATATTAAAATGAGGTTTTTTGACATAAGGATTTGGAATATTTTTGTAAAGTAAAATTTTCAATCGGGTGCTTCAAATGCTAAAAAGGATGGCTTTAAATATGAAAATGAAGAAAATGAGCAACTTACTGATTAGTTTTGATATGCTATTTTAAGATTCCACTCGCGCGAAATAAATCCCTGTCTTTGCAGGTTTCTTGCGGTGTCTTCAAATTACGCAGCACTTTAACCCACTTTAAACTGCTTTCACAGCGGTTTGGACATTTTCCCGCGTTGCATTTCTGAAACTTCAACGCCCGGCTCTATTTTCGCAGCGCCCGCTTGTTGTCTTAATTGCTACCTGAGCGTCTGTGCAATACATTAATAAGCAACCGCGCTGCAAACCCGCAACAACATTATTTATCCTCGCCCAACTTTCCCCGGCTTGGTGAATTGCGCAAATCGCAATTCACTTCCGATGTCATGGTTGCGCGTGGGCGCGCTTTCATTGGCCGCGCGCATTTGTTATTTGCATTTCAAATGACGAAAAGGACACCGTGAGTAACTGTTTGCGTTCGCTGGCTGCGTCGTTGTGTGTTGCACTTTGCGCATCAGGCAATGTTAATTAATCTGATTTTTGGCGCGGAAACTCAAAGTGCACGCGCGACTATGAAATTAGTCGGATTCGGCGCGCGAACTTTGTTTGCACGGCGCTGGTTAAATAATTACTTTGCGAGGCGCGGGCGGACGCTGGCTGAAGGGGCGTGGTGGTGGTGGTGTAAAAGCTGCTGCGAAAAGTATGCGGTGTGGATGAAGTTTGTTTTCGTTTCCAGATGCTGCCGCATTCGAAGAGCGATCATCACATGCTGGAGCAGCCGAGCTGGTCGAGCCAGTCGGCGAGTCCGTCGCCGCCGCCGCCACTACCACCGCCGGTGGCCGCACGATGGGCACGCGCCGAGCAACAGAGCGGCGATAACTGCCCGCACTGTCGAGGTCGTCTTGCGTCGATTCCCACGCGCACAACCAGTCTAAATAGCAATTATACCGGATGCAAAGGTAGGGTTTTCTTTTAAGCTCTTGATTTCCATGTAAATTGTAAATGCAGTGGTGCGGTGCCGAAAAACGGCCACGCATAATTTGAATTGTATCGCTTTTCAACACGCGGGCACATGACGATGTCATGGTAACCGTAATGCTCGAAACGGCTTATTATGTCGTGTCGTGATGTTCGCCGCCCTCGCCCATTTCAAATTCGCATTTGAAATTCTAATTGCAGTCCTAATTCGCCGGCACGACAATTCGTTTCGATTCCGCCCCGACGCGCTTTTAATGATTGCGTTTGCGTTTGATAATTTACGAACGCGCCCTTTCACTCATTGTGATGGATCGTCCTCGCTTCCCTTCCACTCCATATCAATCAGCTTCAAACCTAAAAATCAAAGCGTTGATTTTATTTAGCCGCTTATTATTACAAAGCGAAAGAAGCTCTCTCTCGAAAAAAGGGTAAATAATTCATACGTCATCAAGCCAACAGTGGCGCGACGTGATGCGAAAGCTCAATTCGCACCGCGTGTGTTCGAGTATATCAAATAAAAATCACGGCAATTAAAAGCGCGCACATATTAACCGCCCGCCGTGCTTTCGGCGCGCACGATCGCCGGCATCGTGACCGCCTTATTGGCAATCATCCAGATGGGGCTCCGCCGGCGTTTGTTTGCCACTCCGGATCTCGGCTTTTTATATCGCCATCACAGCGTCCAAATCAAAACAATTTTTCTTACCCGAGTGTGTGCGCCGGAAATATACGCAGAGGCGTGTTATTATCGTAAATTTCGCGCGCGCGTCGCGCCCGCTCGTAACTTGTAGCGTATAAGGAAATTATTTCGGGCGCGCGCTCGGCCTTGATTAATCCAACGCTGGGAAAACACACTAATAATGTCGTCGTGCCCGGCGCGAGCAAACACACAAGCGTCGTGCTCACAATACATAACTCGCCAACTTGGCCGCCGCCATAAAACGATTGGGGGTATGAGCGTCGGGGATACGTAACAGATAACGGCGTTATCAACGGCAGGGGCGGTCTAATGACGGCGATACGATAGAGTCGAACTGTTCCAAGTTTCTACTAATCGGAAACTCCATAAAACTTCGCGCTGAAAACATATTTATTGGTTTATTAATTTACTATCGCTATTATTTTATATCGTTAAATCAAGGATAACTACCAGAAGGACGATGTTTCGTTTTTGTGCACTGTGAATCTGTGGAAAGAGAAAAAACCTAACCTTGATGCTTTGAATTTTCGCCACCAGAGGCGCGATTTTAATTAGTTTTTTGTTTCTCTAGGCTTAGTTTCATTTTTCACCAGTAGATGCGCTGCATAAATGAATTTTTTTTCCAACGTTTCACCGCAAACGAGACAAGTGAATTTAATTAGGGCCAACCCACACTCTACCCAACAACCTGATTGAAAGTAATCCCCGCAGCAACACATCCGATTACTCTTCATATTCGGCGACCCAAGCAAAATTGCGCTCGCGAGCGTGACACAACTCCAGCGCCATTGTTCTTATTAACCAAGCCGTCTTCGCGGTCTACGCCGTTTCCACATTTCGACGTTTCCGTGCGCACATCACCAGCCTACCCAATTTCCAAACTAGATTAGCTCTGACCTCGTGTAGCCGGCGGGGATTTTCAGGTATATCAAGGTGCGCGCCGATAAGCGTTTAGCGCCACTTCTGGCGGCTATCTGAGAACGCGCGCTGCCGCCGTTTCCGCCACTTCCGGTTCATATGTTGTTATGTTCTTGTGCGCGCGGAGCGGCTCGGCTTCTACCTCCGGCCCGTTTCCGGTGTATCGAGTTGCGCTTCCTCGCAACGTTGCGAGCACGTTATTTGCTTTATTCGCGTTGCAAATTTAAACAAACATGCTGAATCCTAAGCAAACAGGAACTTCAGACGTTTTGTACAAGTGGAAAAATCCGTGCGCGCTTGCGAATGTATTACTTCAATTTGTTCAACTCGTCACTACGGGCCAATGATGCCGTAATTTATCTACGCACTTCGGCAAAAGACACAGAAATGAAGCAATTGAACGCCTATCTTGCTGGGCGTTTCGTTTAATGGTGAAATATTTTCGGGGTTGCTAAGTCTTTTCGCATTCTTTAAGCTTCTTTCTTGCTTACTTTGCTTTGCATTTGCTGCGGGACGGTATTTTACTTTAATCAGCTGCGATTCGAGGCTGTTCTTTTGTTATTAACGCGGATTCTTCGTGCGGATCCGCACTTTCTTTTTCCTCTCGGCTAGATGTCATGGAGACGTAATTGTCCGGCGTTTTCTCTAATTCCACACAATATACGCACACAAATTAGATTTGGGAATGCTTGCGTTTTGATACACAATTTGTCCAATAAGATTCTTTTTTTATTCATTGAATAAAATACAATATTAGTAAAATACAATAGACTTATTCCAAATGTGATTTTTTTTTTTTTTTCATTTTTCTTATCCGATTTAATTTTTTTTGTAAATACTTCCAACTTCATCGCAATGTTTCTTGTATCGATTTTGTTGGAATTAATTTTCCTAGAACTTTCGACGCTTGTTCAGCTAATCCAGGAAGAGAAGAATTAAACACTTCACCGTTCTTCCATCTTGTTTAAGTTCTTAAAAGTTGTTTAAAAGTGTGGATTTCAAATGAATGACGTCAGATTAAAAGTTTGCAAATTTTTAAACTTAAGGGTTATGTTCAATGTGAACTGTCAAAACACCCTACGCCATCTAACGTCAGAAAATATACCTAATTTAAATTGCAACTAAGTAGTGTTAGATTTATATCAAAATGAAATTCATGAACAAAAATGAATTATAACAGTCTTTCAGTAGTGACAGCCGAGTGATACTTTGTAACATAATCGCAAAAATGCGAACAATTGAATTTCCATCCAGACGTCGTCCAACTAATTACAGTACCGAGCCGTAATACTTTTTATCCGGTATTCTCTGCTTCCTTCCGCGAAAACTAATAAAAGCCAAGGTCGAGTTACAAGCGCACCAAGGGGCATTTGCACATTTTGCGAATTTGAAGCGCCGTCTCAGGTCGCTGACGTGAAAGCAGGACGGAATGAGTGAGTCTTAATTGCATTAAAAAATTACGCAACGCGGCTCCGCAGGGACGATGCTAATATAGAAGTTTTTATAGTTAAAGCCAAGCCACAAGAAAGCAATGAAGACGCGACGCGCGGATGGCGGAACTGATGGCGGATGGCAAACTTTGTGGGCGGTAAATTAAAAAGGTACGCGGTAAAAATTTCAAACGCAAAATCAACATCGGCTGAATTGACAAATATGATACCAGCCTAGCGCATGGATTCTTTCTTAATACAACAATATGTTCACTATGTTCGTTTGTCAGATTATCTACTCACCATATATAAATTTTTAATTAAAATTTTTAAATATTCTAGCACTAAGTGAATGATGAATCAATAATTTTCATGAATTTTTTAATGAATTTCAAAGTGTTGTAAATGCAATTTCATTAGCATTTTTTGATTCTATCAGCACAAGGCGTAAAATGTAATGAAAACTCATTCGGGTACTCTTTGTGTATAATTAATTAATATTTTTAATATAAAGCTTGATGAAAATGTTTACATATCGAAATGTTTTTCATGTAGTCTCTCCCAGAATCATTACTGGTGTGTTTTTGAACTGTTATTGCATATAGGATATATTTTCAAGTCAATAATTAAATTGCTGCAGGCTAATAACTTCGTCACTGTTCGTAATATATTATTAATAGCGAAGTAATGAAGTTTTACCAACCGCAGATTGACGTTTCAAACTGAACTAGAAATATGCGAAGATAATTATATCGGTGTTTACAAGAAGCTGAACATTTTTTATGTTAATCGAAAAGTTCAAGTAAATATTTTTTTATTTTTTATTTTTGGAGCATAAAGTCAGTTTATACTAAAATTTAAAACAGGAAAGTATGTTTGCTTTCTTTTCACGTTCAAGCGACTTAACCAATTTTGATGAATTTTGATATTGAGGTATTTTGGACCTAATAGCAGGACATAAGCTACATATTGTTGCAATTGCGCAGGCGCACGCACCGTCTCGTGACTAAAGCCCATGACTAAAGTACTTTATTCCCGTTTTTGGCCGTCTGTGTTTAAACTGTACCACTATTTGTGTGTAAAACCCGTTAAAAAAGGTAAAAGTAGAAAAGGTGACTTTCTTCGAATCCTGAATATGTTTTATGCCTAACAAGCTGTTGTTCAGCTGTTGATTTGAAAAAAAGTAGCCTAACTAAATATTTTCTTGTTTCTTGGACTTATTATGCTGTAATGAGATTCTCAATTATAATATAGAAGCACGAGAAATGCTGATAATGCACTTATATAACGAGGTATAACTATGAATATATATTTCCATAGCAATTCTCATTATTTATTATGCATCCTGTTAGTTATATTTTTGCAACTTGCGTTTCCTTAGTCAAATCTAACCCTATACCAAAATTGATCAAAATTACTCGAGTGGTTTATGCATGAAAGAATAACAAACACACTCATATTCATTAGTATAATATTAGTCACAATGATTATCTTGACAATGGAGCCAATTCAATCGTCTAACATCCCTACTAATATTATAAATGCGAAAGTCCTGATGTTTGTTACACTTTCACGCAAAAACTACATAACCGATCATCATGAAAATGTGTACACATATTATTGGTGGTCCCCGAATGGTAATAGGCTACTTTTTATTTAATAAAAAAAATATTTTTTAAATAAAATAAAGAAATTGTTTAGCCAATAATACCTCTGCATCTGGCTATTTGACTACTTTAACGCCATCTAGCATTCCAGCAATGAAGCTCAAGCCTAAGTACTATAGTACCATCACACTGTATTATCACACTGTATTACCGACAGCTAAGTCAACATCAAATCCAATTGACTATACTATGGAGACTGTACACTATACTTCCATAGACTATACTTTCGGCCATTTTAAACTTCCCGCCATTCTACTTCATTGTTACTTCTTCTGTGACTACAGACGCGTACGGAAGCAACTTCATTATTTTATATATTAGCGAGCGAAGCCGCGGGTTAAAGCTAGTTTATTATAAATTCGCGCACTACTAATTTTATTCATTCCCGTTCCAAACTGGGACAGATCCCTTGTAATTGATAATATATACGTACTGCAATATGAAATTTAATCCGAACATTAACACATCATACTCATAAACCCTCCGATACATTAAACAAACATTCAAATATGCTCGTAAATATGCCACGTTTTGAATATTCAATTATAATTCTTCGCGTTATTGTTTCGCAAAAAACAAAACCGAAATGTTTATGATGCGATAGAATAAGAAATGTTAGCACTTGCGCGCTGGCTGCCATATAACTTTATAGAATCGTCGTAGTTTCTCACGAGGATGATATTTTATGCGACGACATTTTTTGTGCCTGCGCTGCATTGCCATCTGCGCGCATTACCAAACAGTAAAGTGCCAGGTGCGATTCGGGTACCAATTTCCACCGTGTCGTAATTTCCTTGGATTTTACAGTACCCGTGTTTAAACTGCACCTACGGCGCACAACTCGTTTCGGAATTTTTCTCACTATAAACAAGAATTGGCGGAATAGGAAGTGGCGCTGCCTGCTGTATTTTGTGCCTTTCTCCAGTTGAATACTTGCAGAAAAATAAGACGTTAACGAAACAAGGTATTAAAATAATTCTTTCGTGGTAGACAGACGGGCGGGTGAAAAACGCTTGGAGCATAGCGGCGGGGTACGTGAGCTCATTTTCAGCATGCCCACGTTGTTGTTCTCGTACATTTCGTACATGAATGAAGCTCAACGTACGTAAGCGCAAACGAAATAGAAATAAATTAAGGCAAATAAATGAAATCCGGCGAGGATTATACCTACGCCCGCGCGCAAAAAAGCACCGGAATTTATGGCTCCTTATGAAAGAATGATAAAGGTGAAACGCCCTGAAAGTTTCAAGGCAACATCTTCGTTCTGTGTGTGGGTGGGTTTTTTGGCGCGTTCGGGAACATCGCAATCGAGGACGCAAAAAAAAACAACACACACACAGCACAGTCATTCGCCTTTTTATTGCGTATTGTTCTATAAACAAACCCAGTAAATCAAAATTCTTCATTATAGTTCGCGCTCCGGAAAGTTCGAGTTGCGTAATGGAAAACGCTCGCGCCGATGACATAATTATTCTTTTGTTTTCCCGGCGCTCAGCTGCTTTTAATGGTTCGGCATC